TGTGTTACATTCAAGGGATGAAGGAGCCCCCTGGCTCTCAGCTATCTCGCTACTCCCTGATGCTGTGCTTGTGGGCAGAGCTATTGGAGCCAGCCGATGCTGAGCCCAAAGTCTCCCAGAAAGCTTCCTCTGCTTCCCTAGGCAGAGGAAGAGTAGGGGTCATCTCAGAGCAAGGCCTGACAATGAGAGGGAGACAAAGGCCTGATGAAGAGATGCTACAACAAGGCAGACAAATGGAGGGGGCACATAGGAGTGCAGGGCAAAGGGAAAGTCCTCCTCTCTGGAGAACGGAGCAGGGAACAGGGCCAAGGGAAGTGGTATAGAGGTTGCCCACTCCCCAAAGAGGACAGAGGGTTACATTAACAGGGCAGGGTGCGATTACGATCTATATTCATAGACCCTGTGTAGGATTAAGGGGCCCAGGGGGAAAGAAACAGGGGCAGGCCCTCCCAGTGTGGGGCAAAGGAGGCCGAGGGGAGAGGTGCAGAATCAGAACTTCAAAGTGTTGGGCGCTGGGGGGAAAGGTGCAGACAGCCCCTCACAGTGTGCGGCAGTGCAGGCATAAGGAAGAGATACAGAGACAGCCCCTCCCAGTGTGGGGCAGAGGGAAAGGAACAGGCAGCCCCCCCACACCCACACCCCAGTGTGGGGCAGAGGCAGCAGAGGGTAGAGATACAGACATCCCCCCTCACAGTGCGCGGCAGAGGAGTTGGGCAGGAGGTACACACCACCTAATGCCACAAGAGACTCAAATGTAGCATGCACACTGCTTTCCCCTCCTTAGGTAAAACTCCAGAAGCCACCTGCATTAGGGAAGAATGGGGTGGGGGGACAGAACAGGCTCCTCCAGCCCCACAGATGACCCCTACCTCTACCCCACAGCACACAATGTATCCCACAGACAAGACAGGTGAAGAATATCCCAGCCACCACCACCACTGCTAGTTACTTATTTGCTGTGGTTCCTGGGATGCAATTACCCCTGTGCCTAGAAGGGCCCCTAGAGACCTATGCAGGGCCTGGTGTGCTAGGCTCTGGGTGGACACTCCCACTGGTTACAGGCACACACGGTGAATTCCCCAGGATGAGCCATTCAAGGTAGCTCCTTGTCTCAGGCTGAGGCAGTAGGGGCCACAATGAGCAGGTCCCAGCTGGGAGTCAGCTGCTCCATGAGGATCTTCCTGAGGGAGACTTTCACAGACAGTGACTTCCCGAGAGGGGAAGGACTGGAGGGCATGGTTTCCAGCCTTTGGTCCCTGCTGCATACACTTCTAGCCATAGTTGGTCCTTCCAATGATGAGCACAGTTGATTGTTCTACTTGGCCCACTGCTCTAAGCACCATGCTGCTGCTGCTGCTGACGCTGCCTGGACAATGGGGTTGTACCTGCAGAAATGGGCCATGGGCAACTGTGAGCCCCACCCAGCCTGCTTGCATTGGCTCCTGTCACCCTGCCCTTCTCTACATCACCTCCCCACCTCTCAGACACCCTACCTGCTCCTCCCCATTAGATCACTTTTCTCCTCTTCCTTCATAAGGCCACCCTCTTCTCCTCTCTTCATTCTTTCCATCCCATCCTTCCTCTGATCACTTTCTCCTTCCTCTCTGTCCCTAACCTCTACATTTCTTCTCCTTTCCATTAATCCATCCTTGCCTTCCTGAGACCTCCACTCCTTACTTCCCCCATGTCACCCTCATCCCGTTATTTCTCTCTTCCCCACTCTTCTGTCTCCTTCCACCCCCTCACACCTCTCTGTGACACCCTCCCTCTTCTCTCCTTCTGCTCTCCACCCCCACCCATGCTCTCCATTACCCCTTCCCCATGCAAGCTGCCTCCGAGAGTCTTCAGTGGGCCTGTGGGCTGATTAACATTGCAAACACACGGACATTGCCTCAGCCAGGATTTCTTGACATAAATTTTCATTTGTCATTCATGAATATTTCACACCTGCCTCAGGAGGAATTAGCCAACACAGGATGCAGCATAGCGGAGAACAAAGAAGGGGCAACACTGCAGCAAGTGCAGGAGCTGAACCTACGGTCTGCATCTCAAGGAATGGATATTCACTTATGACTCTTTTCGGTGCTCTGTACTCAGAGTCTGTTCCAGTTCAGGTTGCTCCCCTCCTTCCAAGCAGTTGGCCCAGAGTCCACTGTAGGTGACACAGGGATCCATTTCTGTGTCTTTAACTCCTCCCCAGAGGGTTGCCCCTGGATCCCATTCCAGGGGGCACAGGAATTCATCTCTGATCCTCCTCCTCCTTTCCAGTTAAGTGAACTAGATTCCTGTCCTTTGCAATGAACCCAGGACTCATGCCAGCACAGTAACAAAGCAAGAATGCAGCCCTAAGCTGTAGGTTTTGAGTCTGCCCAAAAGCAATTGTTTGTCCTGAGGGGTTTCATGGCCTGACAGTGAGAGGTCTTGGAAAAATAGAGCTGGAGATCCAGGCTGATCTCCTTAGCACACTTCTCCAGCACAGAGGCATTAGGAATTCTGCCATGTGCTGCACCATGGCCAGGTTACAGCCAACTACCTACAGAGAATGGAAAGTGCTTGATCCAAAGCCTGTTAAGTCAGTGAGAACTAATTAATTGACTCAGGATCAGGCCCTATGAAATCAGGTGTTCTCAAAGTGGTAGCCCTCCGCTGGCCCCAAACCAGGCTCTATCCCTCCACTGAAAGGCCTCTCTTGTGGGTTCAGGGCAAGCTTATGGACGAGAAGTTTGGAGCCCTCTCAGGGATACTTTGCTCATGCCTGTGGGCCATGGTGACATCATGGGGACAAAGGAGGTAGGGTTACAACTGCACAAGTGAACGGGGAGTGGGTCCATAACACTGACATACCCATAGACCTGGACATACCCATACCCACCCAGCCCCAACAGCAGCATATTTGGGGGGCTGTGGGGGGGTGGTTAAGAGCAGTGGGGGGCAGGGGTGATGGTTCTCTTGGGGTACCCGGGTTGGGTTCTCTTTGGAGTCCGCTCCCTCTGAAGTTTGCAAGAATCTCGCATCAAATCACAACAGGGGTTGGGGGAAGAGAGAGTAGGGAGAGTCAGGGGAGGTGGGGGTTAAATCTCGACAAACTGGCACATACACAACAGGTGTTTGCTCAGAAAAATACAGTAAAATCATCATGCAAATATAACGGTAAATCTGCTCATTTCAGACACGGCTCATGTGTACTTGGTTCAGTGTTGTCGCTTCCATCCTCAAACCCATGGCAGGGAGGGAGGAGGAGGAAGGCGAGACAGGCTGTTCCCCCTCCTGTTCCCCCCTCCCTCCCCTGCACCCTGTGGAACAGTCCATCTTATGCAAACTTTACCCAGGTGCTGGCCAAGGGTGACTGGGGGGATGGCGAGGGGCATGGGCTCCTCACCCCCCTCCCAAAGGCATCTTGGGAGCTTCCTCTTCCAAGGAACCAGCAATGCCCCACCCCATCACTCCCCTTTCTTTTTCCTCTGCTTCCTTTCCTCCCTGGGGAGTGTGGGGCAAAGCAGGGATGGACAAAGGGAGCTGAAGTCACTGCAGAGAGAATGCCCCCTCCCCACAGCTTCAAACCACTGGCCACATGGCACAGTCTTTGGGACCGAGTGGGCACTGGCAGGAAGCTCTGGAGAAGGAGGAGCAGGGTTGGAGATGTATATAGGACACCCTTCCCCTTTAGCCCCTGCTTCCCCTCCCTGCCCTCAGATGGTTGCCATGCTGGAAGCCAGCATGGGCCAGCTGCTTCCATGGCAGGCTCCCTGAAGTGTCCAGCTCCTCCTTCTCCCTCTTACATGTCAGCCTAGCCCTGCCTCTCAAGCTGCAATCTCCCTCAGTTGCTGGGCTCCCACTGTTGTTTTGACCCCACATTAACATGCCCCCTTCCCCTGGCTGCACCAGCTGAGAGGGGTGGGCTCAGTCCTGTTCTAATGTTTGGGATCACTGGCGGTATCATCCATGGAAACATGCTGACAAGCAGCAGGGCCCACCAGCACATTAGAGGAGCTAACATAGGCAGTCCAAAGGACTATACCCACCTCATCCCTTCCCCATGACCACCACAGAAATGACACCCCTGGGATACTTCCCCCAGGATCTCTATTGCAAACACGTTCCTGGGCCCTCTTCCCCACCCTGTGCCCAGGATCTCCATAGGAAATACACCTCTGGGATCTCTCCCCTAAGATCTCCATAGGAAATACAACCCTGGGACCCTTTCCTCAGGGTCTCCACTGAGAACACACTCCTGGGGCCCTTTCCCCAGGATCTCCATAGGAAATACAACCCTGGGAGCCTTCCCCTAGGATTTTCCATTGGAAACACGGTCCTGGGACCACCCCACCCAGGAACTGCATCAGGAACACACCCCTCAGATTCACCACAGCAGCCCCTAGGTGCTGCCAAACAAGAGCCAGTTTTTCATGAAGCAGCTCAGGCAGCTAAGACCCCAGACATCTGAAAGACACCTAGACCATTCCCGAACGGCTGCTGTGGGAAGCCCAGTGAATACTCTAGAGAGATATCCCATCAGGCCCTTGACCTTTCCCTTTATGTCTCCTGCCCTTCCCCCCACAGAGATGCACCAGCTGCCTCTGGACATCCCCAGAGCTCTAAGCAGCTTCTCAGAGACATCACCCGCCAGCCCTGGGGCAGTGGGAGAGGCACAGAGGTTGGTCATATAGCCACCTCTCCCTGACTATGCCTGGCAGTATGCAAAGGGACAGAGATCCCTCCCTGTGTCACTGCCACCTGAAAGGATTGTCAAGGAAGGTCATGGAGTGCCACTCTGAACAGCCCCCTCATAGCGGGCTGGCACCCCTGCACGCAAACAAGTGGAGTGGGTGGTAGCCAAGATTGTGCTTTGTTAGTTGTTCTGAGACGGGAAGGGGATGGGGACAGCAGGCTGCACTCTCAGCTTCCCCCCCACAGCACTAGGCAGGGAATGGAGCTCAGGTCCAATGCCCAGATAAAAGGGCGCTGGCAGCAGAGGCAGGTCTCTCAGGGGATCATTAGCAGGTGAGAAGGGTGCTCCAGTTCTTCTGATGGCCGGTACCAGGTAAGCGAGGCAAGAACAGCCCTCCCCTGACCTGCACCACCTCTGCGATAGGGCCCAGGAGGGGCAGGCTGAGGGCATCATTTCCTGAGCTGCACCCTCCTCTCCTTTGCCCAGAGCTGTCCTACTGCACTGTACCCTCTTGTCCCAGGCCATGCTCAACCATGTTCCCCCTCCTTAGGGTACTGTCCCTGTACCCTGCCCCCACTACCAGCTTTTCACCTACCAGCTTTTCTCTAACTTTGGGGCCTGCCTCTTATCTAGGAGAGTTGCCTGTGCCTCATTGGAGTGGGACCCACTCCCTGGAGGTCTCCTCCAGCCCTGGACTTTCTCAATGGACAGACTGAGTAGAGGGGCAATCAGGAACTGCCACATGAGTGTCTGTTTACATCCATTCTTTCTGCACCCCTCAGGGAAGGGGGACCCTGCTCTGGGAGAGCTGGGTGAGAGGGTGACAAAGGCAGTAATGTAACTGAGGGCAGTCACCAGGGCAGCAGCTCCTGGAGGGCACAAAAGCAGCCACTGCTGCAGTAGTTTCCTGCTGTTGTGATTCCTCCACTAAGTATCCTCTGCCCATACCCCCAGGGGTTGAAGCCCTTCCTTGAGCGCAGGCCAGAGTGGGAATGGAGGGGAAGTGGGGGCAGGGGAGGAGCAGAGCCTGGGAGTGGGAGGGAGACGTAAGCTGAGTGTATGTGTGGGGTGTGCAACGGGAAAGGGCACACTCCTGATCTCAAAGAGGTTGAGAATTCCTGTCTTCTCACCCATCTCTGCTGGCCCTGCCTTTAGCAATGCCAGAGGTCATGCTCCCGACCACGTACTGGAAGACTAACTGGAATGTACTGCTGGGGCTGGCCTTGGGGACCCCCCCTGCAGGGCTCAAGAGCCAGTGACCGCTCTTCCTACATGAATCAAAGGTAGGGGAAAGGAGTTCCCTGGACTATGTACCCCAAGGAAGATTAGAGGCTGATGCAGCCACCAGCCACAAAGCCTGACTCCAACCTAGGGAATCCCGACAGAGTGGTGGGGGGCAGAGGACATGGGAAGAGATCCTCCTCTTACACTCTGGTTTCTGTACAAACCCCACAAGACTGGGGCAGGTCTTCACAACGTCGCCCCTGTAAAAATAACAACTTAGCTTCCACTGACTTGGACTGCCATCCCGAGAGGGATGGGGACATCCCCAGTTTCCTCTTGATGGGAATGCCTGGGGCATGGGGGTAGGAATTGCCATTATCCCTTTTGGGGAGCAGTCAGGATTCCCGCCCTAAAACATAACTATTCTGGAACAAAGGAGCAATAGGAACAGAAAAGCAATGGTTAGTGTTTTAGTCTACACTTAGTTAGCAACCTCCCCTGCTCTCCTCACTGCTTATCCCTCCTGCCCCTCCATGTCCTGGACCTCAGCTAACCCCAACGCACGGCGACATTACCACAGTGTCAAAGCAGGCAGCTCCTCCCAACCACCTGCAGCAGTAACAATGGTCCCCGTAACACAGTAGAAACAATTCATTTCAGTTGGGGGTGGGGTTTGTTTGTTTTTTGTAAACTTTTAAGAAATGGTTTTCGGTTCATTTTTGTCAGGAGCATTTGTTGGTTCTTTGATTCACAGTCAAGTGGTTCTTTCTTGTGGTTGTTGGGGAGTCCTTTTTATTTTTCCTTGTAAAGACAGAGTCACAACTTCTGCTGAGCGGAGACGCCTTTCCAGTAATCCAGGATGTCGTGCAGATCCTCATCCTTGGCAAATTGGACTTTCTTCCGCAGGGCGTGGCCGGCCGCCATGTAAACTTCCTCCCGGTGGTGCTTCTTGTAAGGCCGGAAACGCTCCCAAATCTTGTGAGTGCTCTCTGATGAATACTCAGGGCTGGAGGAGTAGCCTGAGAAGTAGTGTCTGGGGGAGAGCTGGGAGTACGTGGAGTCCCGCTTGGAACGGGAGAGTGGCTTAAGGAAGGACACCCGCTGGCTCAGGGTGTCTGCGCTCTCCTCATAGTAGAGGGCTGGGAAGGAGTGCCGGTGTTCACTGCAGTGGTAAGAAGGTTTTACCTCTAAGTGGTGGATGGCACCAGGGGACACCAGGGGAAGACGATCCAGGGGGCTGTTGAGTGGGCTGCCTTTCTCAATGTATTTTGAGTCTGACTTGCTCAGCGGCGGGTGATCGGGCACATCCAGGCTGAAGACCTTGGCGCTCTTGATGGAGCCACTGGATGAGACGCTGCAGGTTTTCCTGGCCACTGCAGCATCTGCACTCAGCTGGCGCTGCAGGGGGTGGTGGGAGCTCTCCTTGTAGGGCGGTGAGAGGAAGCTGGGCCGCTCCAGCCCGCCGGAGGAGCTGGTGGGGATGGACTGACACTCAAACGCCATGTCTGAATCAACGCCACCCCCTCCTCCCAGGAAGGAAGCTGTGTCCAGCTTGAGGGCATCAATGCAGTTGTTGATGATTTGGTTGACCTTGTCCACTTCCTTGGCAATGGTAGAGATCTCAGCTGCTGAACCCTGGCCATTGTCGAGCTCCCGCAGGTCATCATCTCGCTGGGTTCTCTCCAGCCCATCCCCACCACCTGTTCGCACCTCAATGTAGTTGCCTTTGGTAGTGACCTTTGGGGTTTCCATCCCAGCATCCATTGACTTGGATGGGGGCATCTTCTCTCCAATCATGGAAGGGATGGAGGACATCCGTGAGATGGGAATGACTGGTGGCTCACCCAGCTTCTGTGAAGGGTGGACAATGGAGCTGGTGTCAATGTCTGAGCCATAACGCATCTCCAGAATGGTCTTCTTCACATTGAGGGACTTCTGCTTCTCCTCCTGCATCCTCCGCTTCCTCAGGCAGTAGTAGACCACTCCCAGGACAATGACCATCCCAAAGAGGCAGCCCAGGATGGTCATGATGTAGTGAGTGGTGGTAGAGGTATTGGGAATGGGATCCTCCCTCCCCTTGCTCCTGGTAGTAAAGGACACACAGGTGTGGTTGTAGCGCTTGGAGTTGCGGATGGAGGCCACGCAGAAAGTGTAGTCTGTGTGGGTCTTCAGATCTTTGAGGACGACATACTCCTTCTTGAATTTCAGGGTTCTGACATCGGCAACATAGCTGTTATTATATTGCGTCAGAACGTACAACTTGCTGTAGGGCGAGGGGATGGTCACCAACAAGGTGGCTGAGGTGATGGTCACATGGTGGACCTTGATGCTGGGATTGAAGGAGGAGTCCGTGGTAGAAGAAGCTGGGGGTTCCACTGACAGGAAGTCCCCATGGTTGAACCCTGAGGACTCATCCAGGTCTCTCTGGGAGTCAGGCGTGTAGGGGGTGGGGTTGACTCTTGAGAGGGAGGGGATTGTGCCGCCCCGGCACATGGACTGGAATATGGTGATGGCATTGCGGTTGTGGTGGGGTCGAGGCACCAGGAGTGGGTAACCAGCGAACTCTCGCGGGGTCTCGCATTGCAGTCGGTCATAGTTCTTTGTGACATTGTTGAAGACCACCAGCCAGTTGAGAAAGCTGTAGAGGCTGCAGTCACAGTTGAAGGGGTTGCCAGCCAGCTCACACACCATAAGGTTGCTCAGGCTGGTGAAGGTGTTCCCCTCCAGCCGGCTGAGCCGGTTAGAAGACAGGTCAATGCTGATCAGGCTGGGACACTCCGAGAAGGCAGTGGGAGTGACCAGCTCAATCAGGTTGTGCTGCACAAAGAGGAACTGAAGCCGAGCCATACCACGCAACATGCCCTCCGTCAGGTTGGTGAGCTTGTTGTAGCCCAGCTGCAGGACCTGCAGGTTGGACTGACCCATGAAGGCCCCGTCCTCAATGTAGGAGATCTCGTTCTTGGTCAGATTCAGGTCAGTCAGATTCCCAAAGCGGTTGAGGGAGGAGTACAGCACCACCTTGAGCTTGTTCTCATTCAGACGCAGGTCATGCACCGTGCTGTTGATGTGCTGGGGGATTGTCTCATAAGGGGGCTGGTTCTGGCTGCAGATGGCCAGCCACACATAACCCTTGTCCCCCTCGATCAGCCAGCAGTCACCATGCACCATGCCAGGGACAAACACACAGAGCAAGGCAGACGCCCACAATCCCAGGCACGGCATGGTTGGATGCAATGTCCACTACAGGCAAGAAGAAACCAAGATGCCAGAAAATAAAGTGAAGGGAGGAGAGGGCCTGAGTGCTCAGAGCTTAGCGATAGGAGGACACAGACACCCCAGTTCTATCTGGTGCTATCACCCACATTTTTGTTTCCCCCTGCGCCAACACAAGGCGTGGAGTGGGGACAGCAAAATCCACTTCTTCCTGCCTCCCCCAATCCACCAGAAAAGGTCCAAATGGGGAGGGAAAAAGATGTTGTGCTGTCTTTTCAAATAAAACAAAATTTAGCTGCCACCACCAAATCTTGATGGAAGGAATGACTCCTCCACGCCTTCCTCCCCCCAACACCGCAATGTGACTTGGAAGAACAAGGTAGAGCTGCCTCTCCTGCCGCTCACACCATCCATGCGCCTTGTCCTCTCCTGGGTCCCCTCTGAGATGCTTCAGAACTTCAGATCAAACACGTCGAAAAAAACAATACAGAGAGCGAGTGAGCCCAGGAAAGAGTGAGAGATCCATCTGTCATTGGAATCTGGAAAAGGAACACACAAGAGACAAGACGAAGTCTCAATTAGGGGGTCTTTGAAATATGAGAAAAGACAGCTAGGTTCCCTAGGTTTGCAGGGACATGGAGAAGTAGCACAGAGAGTGTTATGGGCTGGAAGGAAGGGGTGGAAAGGAGTGGAGAGGGAGGAGCAACATTGCCTGCTACATTGCTAAGCCTTTGCAAAGGGAACCCTTGCAACTCAGTCTTGTATCAGTCATAGCCAGGAGGGCACTTGGGCTCTGATATGTAACAGCATTATAAAAGGTGGGGGGGAGACCTGGGGAGACAGGTTGGGATGGAGCTGAGGGGGAGACTGGGAAAAAGTCAGGGGCAGGAGTGTAGTACAGTCAGCTGGAAACTCCAGAGCACAAATGAAACAAAAACCAAACAGAAAAATAATGGCAAAACCCACGGCAACATGAACCTGAGGATTTTCAGCTGCCCGTGTAAAGGCAGGCAATTGCACGGAGGCAGACAGACGCTGAGAACAAACAAAGGAGAGCCCCACCTCAATGCACTCGGGCTTTCTTTTTTTTAAAACTTGATGCAGAAAGATAAATAATTCATTGGTTGTGTAACCACTCCTGCTCTGAAAATGATTCCCACCTCGCGGCGCATGCCAGGGCAGTGCAGATGTGATACTGTGGGCTGGGGGAACCCAGCTCGGAGCAGCGCAGCTGGAATTGGGAAGGAGGCAGTCACAAGTGTCAGGTGCCCAGAGGAGAGCATAGGGAGTGTGTTCGCATGCTGAAGTGGGTAAGCAGGGTGTTGGTCAGGGTCCTCTGGCAAAACCTGGCTACCATGATAGGGCAGGCATGCACCAGAGTTTTGACATGGAAGCACATGCTGTGAGACCAGGAAGCCTCCTGCCCCAGGCTGGGGAAAGAGTCCATCCAGCTTGCACAAGGTGGCAATGAAAGTTCATCTGCTGCCTGGAGTGGCCAAGGCATCAAGACAAAGGGAGGGCACTTCTGCTGGCACCAAAGAGACATTTCCACCCTCCACATGCTTTTAGCCTCAGGGTCTCCACCGTATAACTGCTGCCTCCTAACCTACAGAGCAACACCCCCCCCCGCCCCCGACTGATGCCAGGGAACACTCTCCACCCAAAGCCCACTCTTCCTGGGGGCAGTTAACACACCCCACTCCTGAGAGGGAACCCTAGCTGGTGCCAAAGGGACATTTCCATTCTCTGCTCTCTGGCCCCTGGCTACCTATCTTCCAGTGAATCCTGAACTGCTACCTGGGGAGAAACGCCCTGCTGAAACGTCCCCATTCCCACTGCCCCCTCCCACACCAGGCTGTCAGGAAAGGCTTGACTTTGGAAAAGTGTCCCCGGCTGACGCTAAGGAGCCAGTTCCATTCTCCAACTGGAGAAGCGTGTGTTGGGGGGAGCTGTAAAACATTAAAGTAAAGGGTTACTTAGTTACTTTAGATTATGAATCCTGTCTCCCCCTCCTTTCATTTTTCAGAGATGCTCACTAAAGATATTGCTATACCTTTGCTGTTAAAGCCAAACCAATTTCTAATGCAGAGACCTGAAGGGCATAAATAATAATGAAGAAAGAGAGAAGGGGCGGGGGAAGAAAAAACTTGAGGAACAAGGCTTACGTCTGTGGAGAGATCTGAGCTGATTTGGGTTTGTGGAATTACTAAGACAGTTGGATTAAGGGATCAGAGATGGTGTTGGAGAGACACACTTAAATATTCAATAATCCCGAAAGGAAAGCCAAGATGGTGAATGGCAATGTTGAGCAGAGAGGAGCGCTGGATCCAGCTGAGAGGGGAGATGACCCTTTGCCCGTGACCCACTGGCTGAGGCCACCAGACTTGTTTCACCTGTTCCCGTCATGTGATGGTCTGGGGCTGCTGGCTGAGGCATGGGTTTGTGCTGGCTGGGGACAGTGCTGATTCAGGAGGCAGCAGTTTCCAAGGTCTATTGCTTCACTTCTTAATCTAATGATAAATAACTTCCTGACTCTGCACGCTCCCCTCTATTCAGAGAAGGCAGCTCTGCTGGCCCTTGGTGTGTCACAGATGATTTGTGCCTGTCCTTTCCCAGATCTCCTATTGGAGCTGGCCCTCTCAGCCCCTTACTCAGGGTATCTCCCTACAAGGGCATGGCTGTGCCACTTCTGCTTTCCTCCACCCCTTCTCGCCAGGCCATTTCTCTCCCTTCACATGTTTTTCCAACCATCCATGATGTACCCTTGGACCTTGGCCCTGCCTCTTCCAGCCAACCAGCTTTGTGAGCATCAGGGAACTGCAGTAGCAAACACATCATTTACGTAGCACTAGCAGAGCAACACATCCTTCCCTCTTACCTGCAGACCCTTCCTGGGATCCCTGTACCCTTGGAATGGAGGCTAGAGGCAGCCCCGGGGAGGAGTGGAAAAATTCACACTGGATTTCTCTAGCAGAAGCCCCTATGTTTTGTTACTGTTTGGTTTGGCAGCTCCCCCTTCCCAGTCGCCCCCTGTGCCATCCCCTCCTCAACCTCATGATAAACTCTCCCCTGACCCCGCAGAGTCCTGGTGCATGGCTCCCGGCTTTGTCCTACCGAATTCCTTGCTGTCGACCACAGCAGAGCAAACTCCAAACACCGGGCTGGAAGCATCAGGCCCTGCTCTAGGGTGGGAGGCAGTGCCAAGGACAGCCCAGAGTTCCCCACTCACAGGTCCAGCTGTGCCATCGGGGCTCCAGCTGGGCAGCACCTGCCCACGCAGGCAGTTCCCTTAGGTCAGCACCTGGAGGGATTGATCAGCAGCAGGACCGGCCAATCGGGCCTGAAGGGAGCAGGACTACTGGTGTGGGGAAGGGACCATGAGATGGAGTTGCCTATGGGGGGGGGGGCAGGGAAGACTAGCCACTGTGTGTGATCCCCGTGTCCTCCCCTCAGTCACACAGGCTCCCTGTGCAGCCCCACAATGCATGGGTGGGGACAGCAAGCTAAGTGTTGTGGGGTGGGGAGAGAAGCACAAGCAGGGAGGCAGCTGTCTTCCCCCACCCCACACCTCCAGTCTGTGCTTTGGCTCATTCACAGACAGAGGTTTCCAGGCCAGCAAAACAGCCAGTCAGCACATTCCCAGAGCAAGAATCACCACAGCCCCCTCCATATCCCTGGGGTGACTGTCCCAGGATCAAAGCTTTCCCTGCATTGTGGAGGCCTGTGGGAGCCTCCCAAGACCCTTTTCCTGCCTCCCAGCTGAGGCATCAGCCCTCACAAAGGTGTGGGATGGAGGGAGAGTGGGGGGACCCGTATCATCCCCTCCCCCAGCTGCCGCAACCGAACCCGAGGATAAATCAGCCAGGAGATGAGTCCAACAAGGCGAGGAAACAGCACAGTGTCCTCGTTGTTGGCCAGGAAGGTGCTGACACCACACTTGGCCACGCTCCTTTCCCTCACTCCTCAGAAGACACAGCAAGGCAAGGTTGGAGAAGCAGGATGGGAGGTGTGGGGGGAAAATGAACACAGCCTCTCCTGCCTAGGGGTAGGGAAAGAGGAAAGGCAGGGGAAATACAGGTAAGAAGGGGTGGGGGGCCTCTGGGAGTTTCATTTGGAGGGAACAGAGAATGAGGGGACCCCCCTCCAGAGCAGGGATTTGAGGCAGGGGGTTGGTTCCCTCCTAGGAGTCTGTTATTTCACTGCAAGCATCAAGGATGAGAGGCCAAAGATGTCTGGCTTTACACCAGTTGTGTATTCTCCATGTTCTGGGCCTGGCTTTAAGCCTCCATGGTCTTTAACTCAACCAAGAGCAGCCTCGGGGCTGCTATAAGTCACACTTAGCTTTCAACTGTCTCCATGGGCATATAGCAGCAACAAAGAACCAGAGGGCAGGTGGTAGCACTCTGCCATGTCCTGGCCTGCCCCCACAGTGGGCTGTGAGAGGATGCCAGAGCCATTTCCCCCATTGTATGCTCTTCAGGGAATGCCCCTGAGCATGAGGCATGAAAGACAGCCCTGAAGGGGCTGGAAGACAGCAGAAGGCCAGTGAATCAGATCTGTCTCAGGGATCAGGACACCTGCATGACAGTCTCAGGAGGCATCAGGGAGCAGGGTTCAATGCATCAAGGTGCTTCAAGGTGTAAAGCAAAGGCTTGGCGAGTTGGTAGGTGAGCAAGTTGCTACTGAGCATCACAGGAGCTCAGGCCTGTGTTGCTGGCATCCTGTTCTCCATCCTCCCCCCTCCCCAGCCCCATGAGCCTAGTGCTTTAGACAGCAGCCACTTAATCTCTCAGCACCTAAATGGTGCTAAGAGCCTTCGCATTAGAAATTTATAATTTAAAAACCTGAAGGACGTTCCTTGCTCCTGTGGGGAAACTCAGAGGTGAGGCCAAGTCTCCTTCTCTCCCTTCCTCCCTGCCAGCTCTGTCCAGACGACTGCTTGGTGCTAGACACTTGCCTGCCCTGGGCTGGCCACTGGGCACAAACACACCAGCTTCTGTACACAAAAGGTTGGCATGGCTTCCAGCTTATGCCACTTCTCTGCTCTCCCCAGGCCTGGGGTGACACTTCCATCCCTCAATAGTTCAGTGTCCCACCAGGATTTGTTCAGCCTCTTCCCATGCTTGTGATTTGAGTTCCAAGTACTGTAAATCAGCACTGTACCCATGTGCAGGCAAAGAATGATGCTGCCATAATCCCTTCAGGATCCCTTGCCCATGACCCACTGGCTGAAGCCACCAGACTTGTTTCACCTGTTCCTGTAGCAACACCTTCACAGTCAGCACTCCTGCTCTGTTCCCTACAGTGACACCCCCACAGTTAGTGTGCCCACCTCACCCCCTACAGTGACTCCCCTGCAGCTACTGCTCCCTCCCCTGTCCTCCGGCAACACCCCCACGGTCAACACACACACACATACACTGCTGTGCTGGCATATACACAGCTGACTGAAAGCACTGCTGGCCTCTTCCCCAGGGTACCACAGGCTGCCAGAGAGCTGCTGCTGTCTAACCCCCAGCTCACCCAGACAGGACACTGC